AGTTTGCCAGCACTTGGCTAAAGGCCAGCTGCGAAAACTCGGTGAGACCACCTACTACGTGAACAACGAAACACTCGCCATCTCACAACTCATCCTCGCAGTGGGTCTTGATGGTGACGTCGGAGGTGGCGTACGTCGCAGAGGAGAAGAACCTGATATCTTTCAACAGACTACACCTTAAACAAGAAGTTTTTCTTAGCTCAGAAGTACTCTGTAAAACCAAATTGGAGGTGTTTCGAGAACTCATGGCGCATTTTTTAGCTGAGGTACATCGAAAGATGTGGCCGCAGCACCGCCATCGCCACGACAGCCGCTCAAAGGACAAAGAAAGATCATGGCCTCGAACCACACCCAGGCCGCCAAGTTCTGCACCCCAGGGTCGAAGCCATCTGAACCAAGGTTCGGGGTTTATAGGGTTGGAATTTAGGCTTTTAGGGTTTCGAGATTTAGGATCCGGGGGTTTGGTGTTTAAGCCTTCGGGCTTGAGGTTGGAGGTTGGTGGGTTGCGCTGTGGTCTTCGAGGTCACAGTTCGGTGCCTTGAAGATTGCAGGGGCTCCTTGTGCAGGGAATGAAAGACTGATCATTCGAAAATTCTTGGGACTAGACTACCAGCGACTACTTGCTCGGTTCGAAGACCATCACATCGAGATCTCGTGGTCCTGCTAGGACATTCTGGAATCCCCTTGCTGAGGGCCTGGCGTGAATTATCATTGAACTCTGGGTATTCGTATCCTTTGAAATATGACCCTCTACAATTTAATATGTACTTATAATAGCTTAGGAAGCAGGAAAAGTTAGAATGCGCCTAGGAAGGACGGCACGGATCTTTACAGGGTGAGGGAGTGGAAGGCTTAGGGTTCGCTTATGAAGCTTAAGGCCTTGAAGGAATGTCTCTACTTTTCCAGGCTTGAACCTAGGCCCTCGACCCCCTAAACCCTAAATCCTAAACCCTCAACCCTAAACCGTAAACCCTAAATCCTGAACCCTCAATCCTAAACCCCAAACCCTAAATCCTAAATCCTCAACCCTAAACCCCAAACCCTAAATCCTAAACCCTCAACCCTAAAACCCCCGACTCCACCTCCTCTCGGTGCCTGAAAGAAGGAACCGACTGATCATACACGCCCGCAGGGTTTGGGGGCGGCCAGGGCAGAGGCTGGCGTGGACCTTGATACTCTTCGTGGGCTGCTCGAGGCTCAATCGGAGCTGATACAGCGATCGGGCAACAACCAGGCGACGAGTGATGCCATGATGAGGTTGCAAGGTATGCAGGAGAAGGCCTATGAGCAGAATGAGGCCAAGCTCACGGCACAGAGGGCGGGTATGCAACTCGCGGATCGATGCTGCATGCTCTAGGACTGGCTGCAGCACCTGGAGGAGGGACACCGTGGTGCCGGGAGTGCACCTACTATGGTTGGGGATGAGGACCAGAAAGCTAAAAAGAGAAGAGGTAGAGGTAGAAGACGTACTGAAGTGGCGGCTCCATGCAACGACGTGAGTTCAACACTACAACCTCCTGTGAAAGACGGATATGCCTCATGAGGAGGCAGAAAGTTGGGATAGGAGCGGAGGACCACCCTATGGATGGTATGGACGCTGACTTGGAACCTGATGAATTGGATCGGTCTTGCTGTTGATGCGTGCCCGAGCTCATGTCAGGGGATTGGTTCGTGCCTGGCGAAGCAAACAAGACGGGGTATCAGCGTTCGTGGAACAAAGTTCCACGATGGGGACATGGACGGTACAACTGCAGTAGCTGGAAACAAAGAGGACGCAGCAAGCACTGGCACGATTCTGATGCGTTGTCATGGTTGCATGGACGGTCAGGCAGGTCCTGGAACTCAAGCAAAGCTGTGGCTGCAGATGGCGCAATCTGACTGGGCCAAGGGTTACCGTGAACGTCGTACTAGAGGGGTGCCGCTAAAATGAGTGTGCCAATTGAAGAAATGGTGATGACCTGAGATGACTTGAATGCTAAAGTTTTAAAGAGTTTTCTACGGTCGTCCAACATAGATGGCCTGCCGACTCACGGTACAAGCAAGTTCTCGTTTGCGGGCATGGAGATGTCGAGAATCTTCCACTCCTTACACCGAGTGCATGGCTCAGTCTGAGATGGCTGGGGTCCGGCTTTGGATACGTTTTTTCTTCGACGATACGTAGATGGGTCGAACTGGTTCGCCTCTAAGAGTAGGCTTCCGTAGGCCGTACCCACGTGCAGACGGAAAAGAACCTTCCACAAGAGACCCTAAACCCCAAATCCTAACCCTAAATCCTAAACCATAACCTTGGGGCTTGCAGCTTCGGGTGAGTGACGACACTCCGACCACGAAGTCATGCTTCAAACCGGCCATTTTTAAACAGAGTCATAAGACGCTAAGCTCTGAACCCTTGCAAGCCCGAACTACGTTCGCGAACGGCCTCGCTTCGTCAAACGCCGGCGCTCCCTTTGCTGCGTGGTGGAGTCCCGGCATCCGCCTAGGAGCTGGACCCTGAAAACCTGGACAGCCCCGAAAGCTCAACCTGAATTCCTCAGGAATTACAGTGATTAGAGTCTAAGGCTTCGGGGTTGAAGGTTCGGGTTTGGAGGCCTAAGCCACCTCCGATCTCTGCTGAAGTCAGGTTTACGGCAGCCCTAAACCCGAAATTCTATACCCTAAACCCTACCGTTTCGGATCAAGTGAAGCAGACGTCACTCGACACTAAAGCTTTCAACGCTAAACAAAATACCGCCAAACCGAACATCCAACATTCCGCACCCTGTCTGGGAGTGTAAAATATAAGGGGCCCTTGTATGGAACCCCACAAGATTCCTGTCACAAGCCCTCAGAGAGTGATAGAAAACCCTTTGAAATAACCCCTCCAACAAATTCCCAAACCCTACCGAACCCATGTATATAGGACATACCCTCATATTCACATCTTCAACATGTTAACATGACCATAAAAAGAGACCATGAGGCTTCATGTTTATACTCAGAGACAGCCGGAGTCCCTTCTCAAGGAGTAGAAACCCCAAAAAAACACAATGCGAAGACCAAAACTCCCACCAAGGAAGTCATAATCTGATCACAAACTCCCACCAAGGAAGTCATAATCTAATCACAACAAGGAAAAGTTATGTAATTTCAAGGAGTACTTCCTTAGACATGGTGCTCAGGATTTCGAGCTCTTGCAGCAGAGTCGCCGCCGACGACCTTCATCGCAAACGTTCTGCACCTAAGGAGCTGGCGCTTCGCTTGCTTGGTTCATTGGGGGTTTCGGGTTTAGGGTTTAGGGGGCTGTCCCTAAACCCTAAACCCTTTCTGCCTACGTCGAAGGTTAGGTTCCTATCTTAGAAATGCTCGTCTTGTATGTTTATGTATGAAGATGTCCCGCAAATGTACACGAATAAATAAGTAGATACTACAACGAAAGGAACAAACATGACCCATATGAGCAGTAATGTCAGTTTAGTACCAAGTTTAATGAAAGGAAACATCTACATCTACATGTCTATCTATATATGTATGTATACTTACTTACTTACTTACTTACTGACTGACTGACTGACTGACTGACTGACTGACTTACTTACTGACTGACTGACTGACTGACTGACTTACTGACGTACTGGCTTACTGACTTACCTTCTTACTTTACTTTACTTTGCTTTGCTTTGCTTTGCTTTGCTTTGCTTTGCTTTGCTTTACTTTTCTTTGCTTTACTTTACTTTACTTTACTTTACTTTACTTTACTTTACTTTACTTTACTTTACTTTACTTTACTTTACTTTACTTTACTTTACTTACTTACGTACTTACTTACTTACCTATTTACTTGCTTTCTTACCTACCTACTTACCTACTTACTTAACTACCTACCTACCTACCTACCTACCTACCTACCTACCTACCTACCTACCTACCTACCTACTTACTTACTGACTTACTTACTAACTTACATACTTACTCGCTTACTCACTTACTCACTTACTCACTCGCTCACTCACTCACTTACCTACTTATTTATTTACTTGTTCACTTACTCACTTACTCACTTACTCACTTACTCACTCACCTACTCACTTACTCACTCTTACTCACTCACTTACTCACTTACTCACTCACTCGCTTACCTACTTACTTATTTCCTTATTCACTTAACTCACTAACTCACTAACTCACTTACTCACTTACTCACTTGCTCACTTACTCACTTACTCACTTACTCACTTGCTCACTTACTCACGTACTCACTTACACACTTACTCACTTACTCACTAACTCCCTTACGTACTTACTTGCTTGGTTGCTTGCTTGCTTGCTTGCTTGCTTACTTCCTTACTTCCTTACTTCCTTACTTCCTCACTTCCTTACTTCCTTACTTCCTTAATTCCTTGCTTACTTACTTCCTTGCTTACTTACTTACTTACCTTACCTTACTTGCACTTACTTGTAGTACTTACTTACCTAGCTACCTACCAGAGTTGTAATTCCAGTACGTAGGATATTTCGGCTTGCATTGCTGACGGGGATTAGCTTCATTAGTTCCAGAACCTCCGGGTTTAGGGCTGGATGTATGCTGGCAGGCTTCTTTTTGAATGAACTCGAAAGTTATGGATAACTAAAATGCACTCTCCAGCCTCTAGAACCTTAACACAAGCTGACATGAAACCCAGAAGACACCGAAAAGTGCCGGGGTCCAGGGAGGCTGTCTTTAAGCTCTACTGGTTCCCTGTTGGGGCTGTATTCAAAATCATCATGTCTAATCCTTCTTGGGTTTCATGATAACATGATAACAAAAATGCAAGATTGTGGCCAACTAGGACCCTGAACCCTAAACCCTGAACCCTAAACCCAGTCTAAACTCCCTAAACCCTAAACCCTAAACCCTAAACTCCTAAACCCTGAACCCTAAGCCCAAGTCCAGGCACAGGGGATCAGCACCCAGGCATCGAGGGCAGCGTAGTGCAGCTGACTGGCCCTCAGAGGCCTCTATGTCAAGACCGGGTCCTTTAAGAACTTCTCTAAGGGTGACTAGGGCTGCTGTGCTGTAGGGTTTAAGGTTTAGGGCTTGAGGGTTTACTGTAGGGTTTAGGGTTAAGGGGGGGGGTTTGGGGGCTAGGTTTTTGTTGAAGGCCTCTTTTCCGACTGGACAATCTGTGCTTCCAAAGCCCTCTCTGGGCAGGCAAGGACCGCCTTTTGCCACGACACTGGAACACTGCAACACCCCACACAAAAAACAAGCAGGTCTACTCACTCTTGACCCTTACGTAGCATTTTGGATTGGGTTCAGAGCCTTGGGTTTATACTCCCCTAAAACCCTAAACCCTAAACCCTAAACCCTAAACCGTGGCAGCGTAGAAGGTTTGTGGCTTTGCAATTTGGATTGCGGGAGCCTGTCCAGTTTACAATCAGGGGAGCCTTGTTTCAAGGGTCTTGGCCAAAAGGTCATCAGGTAAAGGGTAGGCTTGGTAGGGGAAACCCTAAACCCTAAACCCTCAACCCTAAACCCTAAACCCTAAACCTTAAACCCCCAGACCCTAAACCCTAAACCCTAAACCCCTAAAGCCCTAAACCCTTAACCTTAAACCCCCAGACCCTAAACCCTAAGCCCGGAACCCTTGGCTGAGACCCTGCGGCTGGCTTTGGGCTGATTGGGATTTCTGGGTTTTGATGCTCAACTTCTGCCGGCATTCAAGGGTGGGGGAGGGGATGTGGTTGGTTTGGGCCAATTGTGGGATCTCAGGGCCTGGAAGCTGACTTTTCACTTGTGGCTGGAACTTGGCATTGATGATTTCCGGGCCTTCTCAATTCTGGCAGATTTGCAATTTTCGGACCAGTATGCTAATTTTGGTGTCGTCGGGCCGTTGTTTTCTTTCCTGTTTTTTTGCAAAGTTGCAGTTTCCGGGCCTGGTCTCACCAGGCCTCCTTTCCCCACGGCCAGCCCATCATCCCTTTGTGGCGCGCCTTTCCTGGTGCTTCTGGCAGTACCTCTCAAACCTTTTGCTATACAACTACTACCTCTACTACTACTACTACTACTACTACTACTACTACTACTATCTCTACTACTACTACCACTACTACGACTGCTACTACTACGACTGCTACTACTACGACTGCTACTACTACTACTACTACTACT